GCGAGGGGCTGCCTCGGCCTCGCCTTCGCGCCCCGCCATGTGCCGGGGCTGGCAGCCACCTCAGCCCCACTGGGGCCTGGGCCGGGGTCCCTCAGCCACCCCCGCTGTCCCAGGACTGGTTGGTGTCAGTGGGACGGGGGCAACAACCCTCAGCCGGGGGAAGGCATCGCCTCAGCGGCCCTAACACAGCAAGGGCCGTGTGTGGACTTGTGCCCTGGCCCCCTCTCGTGTCCCTGCTGCGGGACCCTAGCTGTCCCCACGGGCCGGGGTTCTGCTGGGGCCGGGGGGCCCTGTGAGGTGCCGCTGCTCCCCAGGACTGAAAATGAAAGGATCCTTTTTTTCAGGAAAAAGAACGCCTGGTAGTTGTGAAGCGAGTCCACTGGAAAACCCACCAACGTGCTTCACCCCGCACAGGTGAAATAGCTCTGGTTTCTAATGCGGGAGGTTCTAGCTTTGGTCAAGTGTTCCTTAATGTGTCTTTTAGCTCAAAATGCTAATGGCTTTGTACAGGTAACCTCAAATGAATTTTGGAAATGACAGTAATGCTTACCTTAAAGCCTTATATTATACCATCTGATTAAAATATGAAGGTCTATAGTTAGTTCTAACTTTGTTACTTAACAACATACGACGAAGGTTTATTTTAAGGCTGTTCCCAATTTTTGAGGATTGGTAGATGTAAAAAGAAAACTGGCAAATTTAGGGCAACGCATCGTTCCCCTGTAGTCGAGTACCCTCTCCCGTGGGCACCCCTGTGCTGGCAGTGTTTCACGCTAAGGCCGTACCCACCAGGTACTGCTGCTGATTGATGAACCGGAGCACTTGTGTTTTGTATGAAGCTGTCACTTACAACCTGGTGACATTTTCGCAGCCATCTTCAGCCTTTTATGTGAGTTGTTTGTAACACATATATACATCAGACAAGCTTTATTAATTGTAAAGCTAAATTATCTACAGAAAGCAACCCAAAATTTACATAGTGGGAGTTATTTCGATGTTTCAATATTTTTATGCTGAGTGAATGAATTTGTACGTAAGGCCTGGTCCTACAGAGTTGCACGTACCGTGTTCTCACAGTATGGTAAATCCTCAGGAGGTACAAATTTATTGTAATACCATATTGAAACTTTGATAGCTTATAACTGCTAAAAGGCTGCTCTGTGAGGAGCTCTACTGCTTTATTTTATTTATTGAGTGTTCCCAGTGAAGCAAGAATGATATTCCTGTATTGTGTGAAAACAAGCTTGTTTGTCTTTGCGGCACTGGGACTGAAAATAAGACTAAGGTATTTTGTTTAACCTCATATGCAAGAGCAGGTTATCTGTTATTTGAATAAATAAAAGACTTGGACTTGCAGCCTTTTTTTCGTTCGAGTACAGGTGCAGGGTATGCTATGGTATGTTTAGTCTCTGCTTTCTCTCAGGATCATGGTTTTGATATTTTGAGATAACGTTTTAAAGTGCGTTTCTGCGATGTTGCAATGGCCTAAATGTTCCATTTGTTGCTGCATCTGAAGGCCGCCTTTCTGCAGCCTCACTCGCCCTGGCAAAACCTGGGCCTGTTTATAGCCACACTGAAATAAGTGTGCTTCTGTGCAAGCACGAGAATCTGCCTGTGAGGATGTGATTGCAGGACTGGGGCCTGAGACCTTTTGCTCAAATAGAGAAATCCTTGTTCAAAAGACTTCCAAAGATACGGAGCCTGTCTTGAACCTTAGGTCAGGAATAGCCGTGTTTAGGAAATTATTTTATTGAAATCTATAGGAATGTGCTCTATAGCAACAGTTACGAATCTTCCTACTTAACATCTTTTCTCTCTAGAAGTCCTTTGAAGTTTCTCAAATTCCTGGAGTCTTAAATGTTTGTTGTTTTTTAGGCTTTGGACTGTCTTTGTCATGTTTTCTTTATGGTACTATTTATCAGAGGAGTGAATCAGCTGATATTAAAATTTCTGCTTAAGTTCATTTTGTGTAGGAAAACAAAAAGAAGAACCTGTTCAGTTTTGGAACAAAAAGAATTATTTTCTCTCCTCTTAGTTATGTTTTCTGCTGTTGATTGAAAGTTGTTACAAGTCTGTAAGTTCTCTAGCCATTATTATTACTAGGAATAATACTTAAATTTAATTCTGTATTTATTGCATTATATTCTGAAGCATAATCTATATTACCAGCATTGCCTAAAATATGCTATTGGACACCCTTATGCAATATAAACTGCCTTTTTGCAGAGTTGAAGCAATAAGCTTTCTGAAAAGGCAGAATAAGGACAATTTTGCTTATTCTATCTTCCTAGGTAGATTTTAACATATGAAAAAAAGTAGTCCAAAATATGATTCCAGGTGGTAACTGAAAATGTCTAGTAAGATCTTAACATGTTACGTGCCTTGATCTGTCAGGATACTTGCATGTGTGTGCAGTACCTTGACTTGTGCGGGGCTCTTCAGAGGTCATCTTGAGTAAGGATTGTGCTCTAGTTAATAAAAGTGTTCCCTACAGGAACTCTTGTAGTTGACCTTGGTTGCTTCCCAGTGTTTTCTGCCTCAATTTGGATGCTTTTACCAACAAAAAGTCTCTTGTTTCCGGAATGACAGCAGGCTTGGTTTGGTAGCTGAGCGTAGTAGAGAATTGAGCTGTTAAATGACCAGAACTAAGCCAAAGTTATGGTTAGATCACAGAACGGGGACAGAAGTTACAACTTTGTGGTGTTGATGTCGACCACAATTAGATGTGGTGCAGCTTCTCTTGATAGAACAGAGCACTTCACAGAGAGGTAGCAGTTGCCTAAAGTCTCTTAGTCTGAAATACAAAAAAGAAATGTCTTTGCTTTCTCTCTAATAATATAGTTTTTACTAATACTGACTGAAAGGTTTTACTGTAAGGTAGCTTTAAATGTGTGTCTCTCTGCAATGATTTTTATGGTCTCTGTTCATCTCTGAGTGGATGAAATTCTGTGTTGCCCTTACATCTTAAAATATATGTATTTACTGTTAATCTCAGTGAAAGGGACAGACAGTGTTAGCGCAGGGAATTGTTCTTTTTCGGTCAAGTTGAGGAATCGACAAACCTACTATTTATGCTATTTGTGTTTGTGGAAAAGCTGAGGTTTTTGGAGATCCGTGTTCCGCTTCTGGCCCCAAGCTGATGGTTTTGGAAGCATATGTAGATGATTGTACCTTGTCTGTGAGATGTCGTGAACACACCAAGCAATTTAACATGAAATCTGCGCTAGTATTAGCAAGTGCAAAACAACACAGTTAAGACCTCTTTAATCGTGGCTTTTGTTTGGATGCAATGTGTGAAGCTCTGAGCTCAGTCCTCTTAATTATACATCTTTTAACCACCAGCATATAATTGCCTTGCAATTTACAATGCATTTGGGGATTCCATTGCCTAAAAGGGTCTTACATACCTTGAATGTCAAGTTCTGAGCATACGTTTAAGAATGTATCCAATCCACATGATTTAAAATAGTCTAATATTTTCAGCACGGTGTTTTCTCAAAATTACCGATCGAGTTTTGGGGCTATAATGCTTTGGGCTTTCTAATAGTGACTAGGCCATTAACTTCTCTGTAAACTACAGATGATGTCAGGTACCAGATTTCTGTATGACATAATGCTGATACTCGGTATGGTCTAGCAAAGATTCTCCGCCAAAGTTTGCTGCTACACTGTTTCCCAGCCTCTCTGAAGGACTGTTCAACTCTTTTGGGAGAGGGTATGTGGAGTGCAGAGCTACAACTTTGTTGTCTTGGAGCTGATGTGCGCTGCAAGGGAACTGATTATGCCTGCTTGCCAGTACTAAAAGCAGCTGGGAGCTGGCTTCTTCCTATGCCTGATGGCAGGTACTGATGGTTGCGCAGGTGCATACCTGTGTGTATTTAAGTCTTTCATTTCTCTTTTTACAGTCACTTTGAAGCCACCTTCTGTTGTCTTACGGACCACCAGTGGCTGCACTCAGCAGGACAAGTAGCTCTGCTCTAAGCGATGATGTTGCAGAGTGTGGCTTTGCTCTGTGTCCCGCCTGTCCTTCCTATAAAGCCTTGCTGGGTTGCTAAGTTTGTTGCTCTTCAGATGTCCAGATAGGGCTTTTGCCAGAGGGAGGAGATTTTCTTCCAGTCAACTGCTCAGGAATAAAAAAATGGGAGAAGGGGAGAAATGAATGTATTATCAAATGTTAGTGGTAACCTCATAAGAACCTAAGAAATACCCTGCTGGGTCAGATCAGGGGTCGATCCAACCTAGTGTTCTGTCTTGGGCGGTAGGAATAAGTGATGCTATTTAGGAAGAGCATGAAAACCCAGCCACTTTTTAGTGTTTTCTCCTCTTGCTCCTCCAATGTCCATATTTGTTAAACTAGGCATGCTAGGAGGTACATCACTTATTTCCCCATTGTCTATGAACTTTTCTATTATCTTTTTGAACCTACTTTTCTATTATCTTTTTGAACCTGATGATACTGTCTGCTTCCATAGCCTCCTGTGACAGCAAGTTCCAGCAGCTCACTACCTGTGAGTAGTGAAAATGAAGAAGTACTTTATTGTGTTTTGAGTCAATCTCTTATTAGCTTCATCAAGTACCCCTAGTTCTAATATCATGTGATATGGTATATGACCATTTTATATTCACCTTATCCCCAACATGATTTTTTTAAACCTCAGTCATGTCTTACATCATTTGGCAATGGCACGCATTTTTGGGTTCTCTTCTGTTCTTTGCCCTGTTGCTTCCGACTAGCTCAAAATCTTTTATTTAGAAGGAGTTTTTTAAGGAAAATATAGGTTCCTCAAGAAGCAGCCTCTGGTTTCTCATTTATGGGTTGTGGCTAAAGCCAGTTTGAGCATATACAGGCATGAATTATGTTTCTGTTGAACATTTTTACAACTTCAATGTAGAGTATAAATGCAAAACCCAAAACAGCTTCCAGAAAGTTTTGTACCCTGAGATTTTCTCAGTGAAGTACAGCTGCTTAAGCATTTGATTTTTCCAGGGGAAGTCCATGTTTCCGTCATCTCTTACTAAATCCTGTGGGACAAAAATAATTTCTCCCCCACCCACTATTTAGCTAAGCGTAGTTTCAGTTCTCTTCAGTTAAGCGACATGTGCCTATTCCATGCTTGTGCTACTTTCTGTGTAGCAGCAAAAAGCTCTGTTAAGAACTCCCGTATATTTTGTTCAAAATGAAATACTGCATCAGATTAAATCAGAATCAATAGGTTTAAGTGTCTTTGTTATTTTTTTATATATATGTGTGTGTGTGTGTGTGTGTATATATATATATATATATATGTAGTATGCTATGGAAGTAAAAAGAAAAATCTCTTTTTAGATTAAGTACAACTTCAGTCTCTGATCCTGGCAGTGTATCCACATAGTGCCACTGTCTTTTGGGGAGTCTGTGTAGGAATCTACCCGTAGAGGTATAATTGCAAGTTTGAGAGCGTTGCTGTAGGGTTTTTTTTATATAACATTGGCTGCTAGGTATATTAGCTTTCTTTTTGATCGTTACACTTTAGTTGCACTAATTGACCCCTATCAGGATTTTTAACATGGTTATATTTGCATGAACTTCTCTTAGTGTATATATAGACCCAGAAATTCATGTTCAAGCTCATTGGTTTCCCTGAGGATTATTGTCAGTATTTTTGCTTAAATGTTTCATATGGCATTGTACTTGTGCCCTGTATCTTTTAGACAAGTAAGAAGTAAAATACTATGCCTGCCTTGACACAGTCAAGTTAAATGCAAAAATAAGACTTAATTATGAGTTAAATCCAAAAATAAGACTGGGGGCACAACAATAAATCCAGGATTATAGTGGCTGGGAACTGCAGAGCAATTTCTTTACAGAAGCTTAACGGAGGCACACCAGGTATGCATTTCTTGCTGTTTACTTTGGAACCACTCTGAGGAACTCTTTTTCTTTGGTCTGTTCCTTGATAACCTTCGGAAAAGAAATGTTGCTTGGTTGTGCAAAAGAGAAGGTCATTGATCCATCAAAAACACTGCAAAGCATCATAGTAGTAGCTTAAAAGAAGGTGGTAAATGAAACAGAAAGAAATAGAGAGCAGCATGTGAGTCACCCAACTGCAAGATGCAGTTGTTCTTGCAAGTCTTTCATCCTGTCCAGTATGCCACTAAATATGAGCTTTGGTTCACTATCGAGAGACACAAACTCCAGAGCAAAAGGCTTTTTGTCAGCTTCATTCTGTGTATGAGGTGCAATTAGTTAAGACTCATTTGATTACTTTTTCTGCCATAGTAATAGAAGAGGCTGTCTCTCAAACACATGGGACTCAAACCCAGGTCACAACTCCCATATTGGGCATGTCACCATGGGATTTATTTTTTTCTTTCACATTGTTGCTGGATAATACTGAAGTGTATGTCAGTATCTGCCTTAACAAAGGTGTCTGAAAGGGTTATTTGGTTCTCAGCACGCTAAAGAAGAGAGAGTTCCCTCTTCCCATTCTGTTTTTTTGAAGGTCACAGCCAATAATGAACTTTTTTGTTCTTAGGACTGATGTGTCATGAAGGGTCATACTCCAATGATTAGTTTCAAATATATATAGTATGTGCTCTGTACTTTCATGTGCTTCCATGCATTGAGAGAAGTTGGGAAGGGTGATTGGGACTGGATTAGACGTCCGTGCTTGTGTTGTGGCTGTCCGGTATAGACGTATAGACAAAGTGCGAGGCCCCAGCCCCTGGGAAAGTTTGCTTGCATGTGTGCATGGAAAGGGAACTATGTGTATAAAGAGGAAATATGAAATGATCCTCATTATTGTCAAATGATTAATCAGGTAGTTTAACTTGCGCTAGTTACATTTTGTAGCGCGTGTCTCCATTCTGTATGCTGCGTATGCTGCATGTGTGCATATACGACCATTTCAAGAATTTTAAGTGTGTTTTTAAATTTTTAGTAGTCTTCTGTCCTTCTGCTTCTACAGCTACATATGTGCTAATGAAAGGCCTGGTTTATGCAGTTTACTGTCAGAGGTGTGATAGGGTGTTTTGTTTTTCCCTAATGACTTAAAGTTGCTTTTCTAGATCCCCCAATGCCATAGTGCTTGCCATTTTCTTAAGGTTCTTTTATACAGTGGGAAGTGAAGGCTTGTACCTTCACAAGAGGAAACTGCATCTTTCCTGCAAAGTCTATGTAGGCTCCTTCCTTGCATTTCTTGCCATTTCGGGCCTTGGGAACAAGTAAGTTGATTGAGGTGGTAATCTGTACATTTGTCACATGCCTCTAATTTATTACATATTCCCTGAATATCACCTCTATGTACATTTCTTTGCTTGGTGTATAACACATATGAAACTGAACTGAGTACTGAATATACCATGTTCAAAAGAGTTTATTCCAGTGCTTCAGGATGACCTTTCTGAATAAAAGCTGCCTTTTGCAGGCTAAGCTGGGTGTAGCAGAGTAGCTGCAGAATATGTGTACTGTTAATTTTATTTGAAGCTGCTTTTTTTTTTTTTTTAAAGTTGATTGCCTAAGACTCCATAGTGTTAGGAAATGAAAAAGTACCTTATGATTGCATGGATTTGTTATTTTGTTGCACTGTAGGAGTCTATTTTAGGGGGAAAAAAACCCAGCCTCTTGCTGAAATGATGTTTCAGCCCTCTTGGCATTGATGGGAGTACTGCCTCTGACATTATTAATGCCTGCATTTACCTAAAATAAGTACAATAAGGTAGGAAAAGCTCTGAAGAACCATGATGACCTCAGGAAGGACTGCATATTGATGCTTGCAGAAGCTGTGGGCACCTACAAGATCTGAAGACTGTTTGTCAAGTGTGGTAAAGAAAGCTTTTTTTTTTTTTTTTTTTAAAAAAAAAAAAGCTTTCTTGCACTGCCTGATAAAATTAAAATTTTGCAGAGTAAGAGTAGTCACCAGCATTTTTGTAAGCAAAGATACTTGAAGTAAAACCTCTGCAATCAAATGAGTTAATCATCATTCAACTTGATTCCCAAAAGCAAGTGGTCTAATCTGACGCTTAACCTTTTTCAACTTGTAGCTCCTAATCACTTTCTAGTAAATGAGTGGAGTTTTGTTTAACAGGTTTAAGTGTGGTGGCAGTAGAATTCTTTTTCCCCTAATAATTTCCTTTCACGATTTCCAAAGATCTGTGACTACTGATTGAAAACTATTGTGCTAGTGGATTTGGCTTATTGGATGCTAGCTGAACCACAGGTTTTGTGGCTACATCTGGCCACTTACTTATTAAGCAGTAATAATATCTATTTTATTCTGACTGACTTTGACCTTTTTGATATTTTCCTTAGACAATCTGCTTCATCTTGATTCATCATCATTCCAGGATAGTGGTGTCCTTGGGGCTCTCTCTTAACATTGATATGGTACAGAAGATTTAAAATCAGGTATTGTTTTGGGTCCCTCTTTCCTGCGAAAAGGAAACACACAATCTAGAATTGAATGCATTTTTTTTTCCTTATGTGATCTGTCTTAATATTTTGGTTCTTTCAGCTGATGTTCACAAGGAATAGAGTCACGTGATGTATGAAGGCAAACACATACACTTCTCTGAGGTTGACAATAAGCCCTTGTGCTCATATAGCCCCAAACTGTGCAAGCAGAGGCGACTTAACGGCTACGCCTTCTGTATCAGACACGTTCTGGAGGACAAGACTGCCCCCTTCAAGCAATGTGAATATGTGGCCAAGTATAACAGCCAACGCTGCACCAACCCCATCCCCAAATCTGAGGACCGTAGGTGAGTTTTGGTTACCTGTCTGCAACATGGGAAGTGGCTGGGACATAGGCGTGAGTTTTCTTTTAAGATGCTGCCTGATTTCAGGATGAGGGAGGAACTTGCCTGAGTGGATTGAATTCCAGGATGTTCGTTTGAGGGTTTTGTTTTAAGACCAGTAAACTTTATTTTGTTTTCTGTGGGAGTCAAGTACTCAGAAAGTGGGCAGTAACTTACTCCCAAGGAAGTTTTCGGGAGAGTTCATTGCTTTTCTCAAATTCACTATAAACTGTGCATCAAACCTGCTACACAATACCTGCTGTTCTAATTAATTTGCTTTGTCACTCACGGTCCATGCTCTTAAAAAGGCATGCTTGTTTGGCCAGCTGTGCCAAAAGCATACTTCCATCTACTTTTTCAGGACAAACAGTTGAAAATGCATACCTTCTGGGCTTAGGGAGCAGTGACACATAGGGACGAATTCAGAATTACAATTCAGTGTTTGTGATTTGGTACTGATCTGTAGTGTTGTATTACTGGGATAAAATAAGTATTACTTGATAACAGATGAGCCAGCTGGGAAAGTGCTGTCCAGTCCCTTTCTTCTTTGTTTCCCCCTTTCCACTCCCCCTCCCTGCCCAAATGAAGATGCCCAAGGTGCCCAGGTATTAAATGCCTTCCAAGAGATAGTGCTTGAAGTTGTTGGAGAGCTGGGAATTCAAAACAGATTTCCTGAATTGCAGCCCGTACTGTAACCACAAGGACGTTCTTCCTTGCTCTTCAAGACTTCCTGAACACCAGTCTCATTAGTGTTGCTTGGGCTGAAATAGCAGAATTTGTCTGATCTTGGCTGCCAGGTATATATGACTTTAATTTTTCAGAGTCATTATTGCAGGTTTTGCCAGTAACACAGTATTTAATTAATGTGTGTGTTAACTGTCCGAGGCTTGTTCTGTTAGAAATGATTTTTTTAACCTAAAATATAAACAAAATATGCCAAAAAAGAATCAAACCACTGTTCACTGACCTTTCACATTATTAGCTGCCATTCACTAACCTTTTGCATTATTAGCAGTGTTCCCACTGTGCCCTACAGATAACTTCCTTCTCAGCTCACAGCTCCCTCTCTTGTCTGAAACAACAGTTGGACTGTGCTCTAAATTAACTTGCACTTCACCTGCCATTTCAGTTGAGGAGACTGATGAAGTGAGAAAAAAAACCTGAATGTTTGTCAAAAGCTGTAGGGCAAATGCTCAAATGGCACAAGATGAATAACTTTAAGCTGTAATTTGACAGTCAGTGACTATTTCTTTGCTACTGTACAATTGAGGCTCTTTGGAAATAAGCTCATAGAAATGATCATGGAAATGATTAGCCCAAATGGTATGCTGTAATTTCAGATGCAAGAGCTGACTGAGCCAGAGTTGCTGTTTACCAGGGGTCATACTTAAATACAATAGAAATAGTAGTACTTAATGACACTTTTTTAGGTCTCATATGTTCCCATGGAATTTGAGATTTTTCTTTACACCTTGAATTGAGTTCACACTTTGTTCTTTTTGATTTTTCTCAAGTTAAAGTGAAGTGTGGTCATGACATCTGGTGTATGTTATATTAGAATAATTCAATTGCATGTCGAGTGTCACATTACAGTACTTGAAGAGGACAGCAGGTGTCTGAAGGAGAAAATAAACTTTTAATTTTAAATGAGAGGATGTGATAGTTTGAAAGAATATTTTAAAAGACTGCTTCTCAGGGCAGAGTTTAATTTTAACAATAAAATTTAATGAATGCTAGTGATAAGACTGTGCCTGCTCGAAACTTTTTTTTTTTTTTTTTTGGCAGGCAAACCTGTATCTGTTTCTTAGGAGACTTTTTTCACACTCCGTTCGATATAAAGATGTTTGCTATGTCTGAGTTCTTCAGTCATAGCTTTTAATTTTCTGCGTACAAAATTACTGTCAGATGGTCATTTTGTCACAGTTTTAGACATGTAACTGTACATGATCAGAAGCAGGCTGTATGATGCTCTGACAGCTATCTCCTTATATACTTTTAAAGGTTATAAAAAAATAAAATGCCTTAACAGAATGTGCACATTATATGCCAAAAGCTTCATAGTCTGTCCACAGATAATTAAAAAAAATTATCACTTGACCCCAGACAAATGAGATGCTACCAGCCACAAAGATGTTTAATATGCTGCTATATTATTAGATCTCTTATTAACCATTAACATTCTACAAATTAAATCTATTAATAGTGCGTGACTTCATTGCCTTATTAGAAGTCTATTTTCTCTATTCACGATCTTGTTTTTTTAAAGAATGTATACGGGATGATACAGACATGGGTTCTGTATCTGTATTTCTTCTGAATACTCGTCTCCTAATTCTTTCTTATCCAAATACACACATAGATAATGAGGTTCCACTTAATTTTTAAGTATAGGGTTATCACAATTTAGCTGGGTTAAACACCATTTTATCTCTAATTCTCCTCTTTCAAGAGAATCTTTAAATATTTTGTTAATATGCAAGATGCTCTCTGGTTTATTTGGATCTTCCTTTAAATAAGTGACAGAACTTGATACAAGTCTGGGATGTACTGGGAAGCAGAACGCAGTTGTAGGTGGAAAACCTTGCTGTCTGGATTCTTGCCCTCCCAGTTATGTGGGAAACTGTCCAGCTGAAGCCTTCAGAGCCTGTCACCTTTTGTGTGCTTTATGTTACAATAGTTTTAATGGATATCAACCCACCGCTTTTACCGTATGTGCTGACTGCATTCGACCTCACCTGCACAGAGTAAGTGCCTTTGGCACTGAGTAAGGAAGGGGGAAGAAACTATATTAGATACTCAGTGTGATACTGTCAGCTGAGAATAACTCACAGGCAGGTTATAGAAGTGACAAATTGTGCCACTAAGACCAGTACATCAGAACTGGCTCTTGTAGGGCCAGCTTGACCCTAATGGGTTTCATGCTCAGAGACATGTGAAAGGGACTGTGCTACTTGCACACGCTATTCCAGTCTTCCCAGTAATCTGTCTTCCATGAAGCAGGAACTACTAACACCTTCCCTGGCATTACTTCTGATCCAAAGAGTTTGTTGCCTTAGCTCAGCTTGTTATAGACTGGTTCCAGCAGAGTCAGTTAATGCCTGCACCAGGCTCTGCAGCACTGTGTAAAGTCAGAACCAGTTTGGGCCAGGGCCAACTAAAATGCCATCCTGGAACTTGAAGGACGGGGAAGTGGGTGTGCATGCCCGCCTGGCTCCGCATGGGACCAGCTAGAGCCTGGCAAGGCCAGGGTTGAGTTGGTGCTAATAAATTAAGCCTAGCCAAAACTACCTGCATGTAATGCTCTTCCCAGCTTCTTCTTGCTCCTTTTAGTCCATCGGGCAAGGTGTATTAGCCTTGGTTATGCTGTAAGACAGAGAGTTGACAGACGGAGCCTAAACCACAGAGCCAAGTCAATGTGTACTGGAGTCCGCAAGTGCGTGTGATCTATATTTTCATTATGTTGTAGCCTGATATCTATGGGTTTGTGTCTAGAGGTGATGCCTGTGTAAGATATTGTTGGCTTTCAGTGGTGCAGTATGGTCAGTTGTAAGAGCCAAAGCTTTGTTCTCTGCCATGTAAAAATGATCGTGTTAGAGTTAAAGGAACAAGCAAAACCCTTAATAGCCTAAAACTCAGAGAATGTTAGTCAGCTAATTACCTTTTCATATGTTTATTCACATTTTCTGGTTTTTTGCTTTCGCTTTGGTTTTAACAATGAAAACAGACTAGCCAATTTTACCTCCTCACTCCTGCACAAGGTGGCAATATTTAAGTTCTGAACAGTAGAAAGGAAGCATTCACATTGAGCAAAACTCTTTTTATTGGAATAAGAGGGGAAAAAATTCCATTGTGTTTGTCTTTTCTGTTTAATGTTTTTTCTTCTGTCATACTAAAAGTGCTGTTCTAACTGATCTCATCAGTCTTGTTCAAACAAAATATTTTAAAAGTGCTTAATTTTACTTATGGGAATAGTGCTGTTGACTTTAAGGGAAGCTTTATTGAGCCCTCATTATATAATTTTATTTTTAGAAGTGCATCTCTCAGTATGCAGAATTTACAGTATTCCAGTATATTCTAATAGGGACTCCACATGTTGCTGGCTTTCTGCTTGCCTCATTTAGATTTATTTATTACTTAGAACTTAATGTAATAAAGAAATTACTTAGACAATAATAAGTAGCAGTACTTTTCAGCCTTTTCTGATTTGTGAATCCTTATGGGTGTAGATCCCTTGAGAAACTACATGTATGGAGATCATTAAGGAGCATTTATTAATTTGCTTTTTATTTTTTACCTTTTATGGACCCTTTAGAAGCAGTTCACACATTGCTTCTTTAGGGGTGGAACAGCAAGTTTTAAGTCACTAAACTGAAGCGTTAAACCTTTTCGGGGGTTTTGGTTGGGTTTTTCTGTTATTTTTTCTCCATGAAGACCAGGAATAATTTCATTTTAACCTATTTGTTCAACAAAACTACTTTTGTCAGATTCATACTGATCAGATTTTATACCTTCATGGTACATTTCCTTATCTTGCCCATATCCATATATTCATATTCATCCATATCCATATTCATGGATATTCATATTCATGGATATGTCCTTAGCTTGTTCAGTAGTACCTTGATGTAGACATGACTTTTTCCTCATATCTTTGTTTTCATCTATAAGCTGCAGATTATAGATGGGGTCCTGCAAGGGCAGAAGTCTGATTGCTGGTGGCATTCTACAGAGGCAGGAGGGCCTGCCTGCCCATGTGAAACAGGAAAAGGATCAGGTCATGGATCCTACATTTCTACCACCTGCTTGATCAGACAAAAATTAACTGTTTACTTCTTAGTATGTTATCTGTGCCCATAAATTGTAAATCTTCTCCTTTTAATTTTCATGACAAACTTTCAAAGACTTTTTTTCCTTTTTTTTTTTTTTTTAATAACCTGACTTTAAAAGCTTTTTTATATTAGAAGAGCTTAAAGTCTATGTTTGTGGATTGTATGTGTACATATTCCTGGCATTGTGTAAACATTTTCTAGCAGCAGAGAATTTCTTTTAAACTAGATTTTTGTTTGAAGAACATGCAGCTAATCCTCTGGCTACAAAATTCATCATGTTAAACTACTAAAGCAGAACTTGAATATTTATGCTACTTGTTCAATAAGTGCAAATAGTGACCCTTCTCAGCAGGTATCTCTAGTGAGATTGTCCATATAAGAAACTGCTTCCTACTACAGTGGAATTCATAACAATAATGTGTGCGTTGATGAAAATGTTAACTACTTCCAGTGAAAGAACAGCCAAATGAAAGGAAGTAGTTTTCAGTGTATTTTTTTCTTGGGAGCTTTTGAAATGATCAGAGTTAATAGCTTGAGTTCTTACTGTTTTACGTGTCAGACAGTCTGTTTTGTTTGCTTTGTTTTGTTAGTATTTACCCTATTAGAAAGTAAATATTTTGAATGGTTGTGTGTGAATCTCCTATGAATAATGACTGAAGACTTTTATATCTTAAGATTACAAATTGTCACTTGTATAAGTTTTTGTTTTCTGTTACAGTTTGGGAACACCGCAGTTACCTGTTGTATTAGAAGCAGTTGTGTACACTTCTTATAAAACCTCTTGTGTTTCAATCTAAATTCGCTTGAGATGGGTGTGTGTGGATTTCCCTTTAGTGATATCTGTTTTCTTCAGGTTTTACTTACAAGAGTTGAGTTAATACCTGACTGCTTTTACTTTTCAAAGGTACTGCAACAGCCATCTGCAGGTACTTGGCTTTATACCGAAAAAGGAGAGGAAGAAAAAGAATGATCCCATAGAGGAGGTAAAGGTCAGGCATCAGATGGATGCTATGGCCTTCAGTCTGACAGTGCCCACCCTGGCCTTGAAGATGCCCAATGGACTGGATGGGATGTCCCTCTCCCCTCCAGGGGCTAGGCTTCCTCTCCACTACCTGGAGGCAGAATTAGAAGACCCCTTTGCTTTCAACGAGGAGGATGATGACCTAAAGAAAGGGGCAACAGTGAGGAAAAAGTTGCAGAGCAAGTTGGCTCAAAACCGGCAGCGCCAGAGAGAGACAGAGATTTTAAAAGTTCGCCAAGAGCACTTTAGCCCCCTTCCTGCACCTTTGCAGCAGCAGCCTCTGCAGCAGCAGCACTCTCATCTGCCACCTTCATCAGCTTCGTTAAAGCCGACAGGGCTACCGCAGGGCGTAGTCTGCAAGTCACCTCAACCTCCGAACACCAGCCTACCAATGCAGGGAGTGGCACCCACCACACACACTATAGCACAAGCCCGGCAGTTGTCTAACAAGAGACCTCTGCCTCTCCTGCCACCCGCTAGGGCTCCTGTCACGGACCCTCCAAGGACTGATCGGGTCCTCATGAAAGCCACAGCCTTTTCTCCGCACTCGTCCTGCATGAGCCGGCTACAGAGACTGGTGAAACTGTGCACTCGAAAACAGCAGCTGGACACTGATCTGTTTCCACATTTAGGTGGGTAGATAATAGGTGCACTGCCTGCTTATTTTTTTAACCTGAAACCAAAAGACAAAAGGGCAATGTCTTCTTAGCCTTGTCCTGCATTTGTGTGTGGTCCTTATAAAATAACCCTGAACTAAGTAATTTCTTGATGTTTTCTTTAGCCCTGTTCTCTGTGAAGGGAATGCCTGGACCCATTGTGTATGGTTTATGGCATTTTGGTTGTTTTTTTCTTCTTAATGTCCTGTTAACCATTTGAGAAATCAAACTGAGGTATAGAAAGCATTGCTTGGATGATACAGACGTTGTACAGAAGATTTGCAACTTGAGTAGTAAAGGTGGCACAGCTGTACTTGCATGAGTAGACAAGGTTAGACTGAATGTTAAGTATGTGACAAGTGACTTGCACATTATAAAATGAGTGCAAGTAGAAGTTTGGAGATTTGGCCCATCGTTCTGTGCAGATCCAAATTTCCAGTTGACTTGACTGGGAAAGTTGAAACATAAGAGAATTTTTCTTGACTAGGCCTATTCTGGGCTCATACAGAATGTGGATGAACAAAAGCAAAAGATTACTGCAGGAGGGCAGCACCGTTACGGAATGTAATTGGAGGGATGGAGTCTTGTCCACATACCAGCGCAGGAATAGTCTCCTCCTTACTTATTATCTAGAAACCATAATAATCAATTGCTGCTTGTGAAAATATGAGTAAATATAACCAACTTGCTGCTATGGCAGTAGCGGTCTATAAAGCTTTAAACAGGCAACTGACTTTGTGGCTTATTTGTCTGATTATGAATACAGATCTAGGTACACTTAGCTGACCTTGTTATCTCCCTCACCTTCCAAAGTTACCTTACTTTTCTGCATAGTTTTAGATTGTACTTTTCTAATAAGTAAAATACTGACAGGGAAAAGGGAAACAGGAGTCAGTGTGTGATACTAGAGCAGGAATAAAAAAAAAAAAAGACTTCAAATCTGGATGTTCTTCATATAACATCTTATTTAATTGCAAACATCTGTAATTTTTGCTATTTCAATTAACCTTTTTTTAATTTGCTGTTAAGATCTGCCCTTTGGCACTCATGGGATAGCTTGACTATTTGTTCAGAAGATAATTAGCATCCCATAGCATGTCTCCAAAGGACATTGTTCTTCAGAAAACTGCTTTGATGGTCCTACATATAATGCACATCTTTTGAGGAATGGCAACTCCAGAAGCACGTCTGACTGTCACAGACCCCAGTAGCTTAGAAAGTGACCTGCATTTGGAAAGACTGTAGAAAGATCACTTTCTGTGTTTAATGTTTTACATTCTCAAGTGGTGAAGAGAATATGTTTTCCTAAAAAAGAGGCATAGTAAAAAAACTGATTAGACCTATAAATGTACAGTTATGCAGATGCGTAACTGTATGTGTATGCAATTAGAATATTTTATATTTGGCAAAGTAACAGAATTCACATATTAATTATGTGAGACTGGAAAAATATATCTGTTATTTATTCATAATATGCTTTAATATTAAAGACTAGTTATGCCGGTTCAGAGAATTTCAGGATTTCTTTTTTATGATAGAGTAGCACCAGAGATCACTGCACAGAATCTTTAAAAAGATGCAGCCAGTTTTACGTGTACCTACATCAGAGCCATGTAATTGAATATTAATATAACTGCAGTCTTCAGTGTGAGTATAGCTGAATCTGGATTAGATTTTATTCCTTCATTTCTGCAGTCCCCATTAGAAGCAAAACAACACAACCACTGATTTTATTTTTAAACTTTGGGTAAATAATTTGTTACATTGTATCAGTTGTAGACCTCTTTATCCAATGATTAAGTTGTTTATTCATTCCTTTATGGAAGGGGGTGAGAGTAAAAAAAACATTTAACTTGAAAGTATAATTCTGGCATTTTATCAAATGTCTTAAGATCTCTTAGTTTAGTTCAAATGCATATTGTAAAAATAGGGACGAAGAACAGAGTTTTCAGGATGCTGAAGTTCCTGAAAAATAACATTTCTGATATTTCTGGTTCATGTTAAAGTGTTGCTTCTAAATGATGAAGGCACTTCTGACAATTGTATTCCAAGTGTGTGTGTATCTTCGACTTTGAAAGTAGGTGACCAAGTACTGATGCATTTCGCAAATTCAAAACATCTGACTTCAGAATAGTCTCAGATATAGTTGTTTAGTTTATTTTTAGCAAAAATAAAGTGCTCCTTAACTCTATCCCGACTGCTGCTTCATTTTCAAGGAGCACACAAGAAAGTGAAAAAATAATAATGCTGGCTTGTAAATGCAGCTACGGGATTGTATCCCACCTGCTGCAAGGAATTGGCAAGAATTCCACTGGAAGTGGGAGAGAGAAAGAAAAACTGCAAAAGATGAAGCTCCAGATACAATGTTCCACCTGAGAACTTACTGGACTCTGTTTCTGGCTGTCCTGTTCAACAGTTGTGTTTAGCTTGACTAACTGAGGCTGCTGGTGCATACAATAAGTTGATCCTACTGCATCATCATTAAGCAAAAGCATGCTGCTTAGTAGAAGTGCAGGAGTATTTGCATCTCTCTCTTTAGCTCTCTTTTCATGCTAATGTATGCATTTGGCAGGCAATTACAGAGACTGAGCAGAGGAGCATCCTGTGTAGCTGTGTATCTGTCTCTGTCCATGCTGCTCTGTCTTATGGTTTTCCTATTCTCCCTGTGTTTTGGCACAGAGCAGGGGTCAGAATATAAACAGAAATTAAAGCGGCCTATTTAGATCATATAGTATTAAAAATTGCCAGGCAGTCAGTTCTTCTGAAGGAACTTCTCTCTTACCTTGTCTCTAAAGATTCCACGTGCTTGGTATGAAAGCTTGTGATATTTTTCCGTGGGTAAGAAAGCTGGTGATTTTTCTTCCACTGCTTATGGATAAAGAAGCCAATAAGGATTTTAAAAGAAAAACTCAAATTTGACAGAATTCAGTGCACGCTATTTGCACACTGTAATGGAGCTGTTACTGTAAGTTTTCCTGTGTAATTGAGAATATTATATGATTTAATCAAACGTCATTATGCTTGCGACTATACTACACATTCATCTTTTGCGCCATAGGTTGCTCAGAGACTTATATGAGGTGATACACTTTTCATCCAGCTTTCATATTTTCAATTCCCTTAGGGCTGGATTGGTCTGAAGACAGTGGAGAAGAGTTAGAGGATTCAGAGCAAACCTCCCCTTACCAGGTTGCATGGTCTATCCGAGAAACCCTCGGCTATGAGAGACATGAGTGAGTATGATTCTTTAGTATTCATGCTGGCCTTGATGGAATAAATCATGTAAATGTGAGCATCTCTTCAAGTGGAGTCAGTGGAACCTCAGCACTTGTTCGAGTGCTTTGCTGAAACAAAGGACTGTTTGAACTCATTTGTTTGTAAGAGCTATGAAACAGCTTGTCACCTTCTGTCCCAGTTTCCACCTAACTTAGAGACCTTTGTGCAGTCTGCTATCAGAAGGATGCATCAGGAAAGAATTTAAGCTTATTTGCCTAAATTTAATTGAGTTTAGTGGGATTTATTCACGGACTTGTGTGCCTTGCTGAGCAGAGGTATTAGAATTAGAACCAAATGAAAGGAGTTGCTATTGGTTTCTTGTCTTTCCTACTATTTGTGAATAACTTTGTTAGTAAATTTGCTACATTTTACTCATTCATCCTTATGGTAATTGTGCAGGATGTTGTTTTAATATGTTTTTTTTAAAGGGCATGGCATTTCTTTTCATAATTAAATGTTGAATAAATCTCTGTCAAATAGTTGGGAGCATTGAAGGGAAGTGATGTGATTGAAGGGATAAGCAGAGCAGATATTAGCTGCTGGTGCAGAAAGGCTTGTGGCGTTCTCCGTGTACTGCTGAGTCATGAATCTGAACTTAGAGCAGGTTATGATAATATATGTCAATTAATGTAAATTTTAAGGTGCAAAGTTAAAGCAAAGCATCCCAAGCATAGTATTGTAATGAAACTGAAGCATGTTGATAACAAAAGAAAATTGGGGTCTCAGTAAAGTTTGACTGTAGTTTCTGTAACGTGATTCTCTTTCACTGTGCAACTGGACTTTTTGATGCTACAACTCCCTCCCATTTGTTTAATTTTTAAGTATTGCAGTTAGAGTAATGTCGTTAATGAAACATTATTTTGTTGTTACATGGAAATTCTGAAACTTACCAGAACTTCTTACCATCTCTAAAGATTGTCCACAAGGTCAACAACAAAGCTGTATCTCTGTCATCAGGACAGACACCAGGATACTAAATACTGAGAGCCTTCAGTGAATCAAAGCTTAATAGCTGTGTGTAGACATTCCTTTTAAAAAAGAAAGGGGGTTTTCTGTTATGAATGGCCATTGGTTTTTAGGGCGTCAGCAGTCAGAGTGAGCTTTCACAAACATTAGTTTTAACTTAAAAGGCAACTTTAAACTGTTTTGGGAAAACATGAACACGTTTTCAGACTTTTAAATCATACATAATTTTCAAAGCAGATATATGTATTAAATAACTTCCCTTATGCTCTTCTCTCCTTGACATTTGATCTGGTTTCTCCATAGATCCCTGTTTTTTTGTCAACTTGTAAAGGTCATCTCTGTGTGTTTTGTCTTCTATTTGTCTTAACTTCCTTTGGATTCTTCCTACTCTTTTCACATACCCAGAAAAAATAATACCTTGTCTTGACATTTTCTGTTCCATTCTAGCATTTTATGCACTTCAATTAAACACTGTCTTAACTAAATCATGATGGATAAATTTTTATATGGTACTGGCTGCTTTTGTACTTCCATCAGTCTGCCCAGTGTTAGCTCTTCACCAACTTCCTAATTTTGTTTATGGATAAACATTGATACATTCACTTGATGTCAGCCTTCTAAAACTTTAATTTCTATTCTGCAAGCTTCTGTAGAGGTTTTTATTACCTGAAATGTTTCACATTGACACTTTTGCAATGTGGTCTGTCTGCTGCTGAAGATGAATTAGTTCAGGCTATTTCTTGGGTGATTTAATTTGTCAAAATGACTCTGTCTTGCTAATCTGGCAGTGCAGACTGGGGCCAATGACTTGTTACGACTCTGAATTTTGGAGGCTAATTTTACCAGAAAACCAATGGAGATTGTTTCCCAAAACCTTTAGATTCTGAAATCACATATGTAAACCTGTGGGAATTTACTTACTGTTTTTCATAGTAAAATTAAAGCTATTTTTTCTCTATTCATTTGTGTCTGAGCTTGCAGTCCCTGTGTGAAAAGGGTAATTCTCCACCAGCTAGCTGGATTCTGTCCTTTTCCATTTGACTCTGGAAGACAGCGGGAGGGATGCTTCTCAGAACAGATTAGTAAAAGAAAGCGAACAGTTAATTTCTGCGTACTGGACAGCTTGTTCTCAGCATTTCTGGTTCTGTGATTGTGGGCAGAATCCTCTAACTTTCTGTTGAACTTCTTGTGTGATACTCTAGCTGCTCAGTGATACTCTAGCTGCTCAAAAATTCACCAGATTGGTTTGAAATTAATGTCTTAACAGTAATACATTTTTGAGTTCATTTGCCTTCTGGCCTTTTAATCTGTAAAATTCATATTGTTGCAGTCATCTGTGGAAACTCAGGCCGAACGTTTGCTTTTATTATTCTGTCCTTTAATTTTGAAAAATCGTGTCCCTGCGGTCGCAGGATTCCAGGATGCAGCGCTGCGAGGCAGGGACAAACGTCTGAGTTCGAGTAGCAGCAGAGGAGTTGGCAGCAGGCGCAGCGCTGGCGGGGAAGGCTGCTGGGGTGGGAGGAATTCCTCGCCGGAGCAGCAGTTCGGAGGGAAAGCAGGGGCTGTTCCCTGCCAGGGATTAGTGGAGCTTCCCCCCAGATGATTCTGTTACTGGGTGTTGTAGCTTAGAAAGTATTGGAAACAAAGTAGTTTTTCGCTTCCTATGCTGAAATATAGATAAAGTGAGTGTTTCAAGTAGCGAGTTTGAAAAGGGGGCCTGGAGATTGGAGTCCCTCCTCATACGAGCTTACTCAAAGGAGCAAATACCCACACTGTATTGTCAAAGTTGGATTTAATAACTCCCAATAGCTAGAAGAACTAAGAGAAAGAAGAGAAGGTTCTTCAAATCCCTCCTTACAGGGGGTTTTGAAGTACAGCTGCTGGCGTGTCTCTGAGTAGAGAGCATGTTCTCCTGGTTCCCTGATGGTGCCCGACTGCTCGCGCTACCCTTTTGCTCTTCCTTTCTGCTGCTCCGTGCTGCCTTTGTTTTCTTCATGAACACTCGGCAATAATTCCCCTGATGTTTACACATGGCAATATTAAAGGGAAGGGCTGGGAAGAAGCATTTTGGATTATCAAATGGTTTGCGTGCACTTTCAGAAATGTTTTAAAAAATGAAATGCCACACATTAAGTTGAACTTCAGAAGTTATATATGCAGCTTAAGAGAATAAACTAAATAGAAGTTAGTAAACTTGTTTATGAAAGGACAACAATAAAAGTACCTTTCGGTTTCAGTACTTGCCTAGCGAAAAATAAAAGGAGGTGTTATTGTGATATTTTTAGGTTTCTTTGAACATATAAATATGTTTTGGCTAATCTTACTGGCCTGGAAAGAAAATTCTGAATACGCTTGTAGAAACTGCCTCAAAATAAGCCCTTGTCCACTGCAGGCATGATTTCTTTCTGTCTTGTATATATGTCTTCATCTACTTTTTTAAAATGATCTCATAAACCACGGTTCAAAATATTTTAACGTGATTACTTTTTTCTCTATATTTCAATGGGAGGGAAGTAAAAAGTCTCAAATATGGAGACATTTTCATTAAAAAACACTCTTTTCACCCAAAAGAAACACTTTTTTTCCCCTAAGGAATATTCCTGTCTTTTCTTAAAGCTAATTTGTAACCATATTTAAAATTAAGTCAGTACGTCTGCAACTTTGTTTAAAAATCTTGGCCCAGGGCAGTAATGAAAAATCTAAGACCTTAGACCTACCTATATCTAACTGATCCCATCCATATATTCCTGTTTTCTATTAATACATTGGAAAAAGGAAAATCTGTATTAAATAGCACACAATTAATTTTTTCTAAACAGGTTGGTTTTCCTAGTAGGCATTCTTTCCTAAGAGATTTTAAAAGTGTATTTTCTTTTCATCTTCAATGTGAAAAGATTTTAAACATTACAGATGTTAAATATTTTTAACAGGTTGTATTTGCTGCTAAGCATTTAATTGCAGGGTTAATTACGTGTAATTTACGCTTGTAGAAAATAATCTGTAATCTGTTTTAACAAACGAAATAAACAGTATAGTTGACTTTACATAAAACTTTATAAAAATGTGCATTTGTGTCAAGGCAGTGTTTGGTCCTGCGGAGTTTTTGTGGGCAGCCGTAGTGGAGACGGATGCCACTTTAGTGTCTTAAATTTAGCCTGTGTGTGAATGGAATAAGATTTTCCAGAAAGGAAAGTAGGTCTTAGTCATATTGCCTTTCAGGGACATCTATTCTGCCTGCATTTCTGGATCTTACTTTATTTAGTAAATATCATGGCCAGTATTTTGCATCTCTTCTATCATCAGCTAGTTGTGGTCCACTTTGCTGTGTGCAGGTTCGTATGTCAGCTCATTCAGTCTCGCTGGCCAAGCTCTGCAGTCTGAACCTTGGGAGCTTTTGATTTGCTTCATTTGTTTGGACTTGTTTTCTTCACCCTGCCTTTCCTTTGTTTTACAGATAGGAAAGTTAGCAAAAAGCTTCTCTGTTCTATAAAGAAAAACTTAAAGGAAAAACTGAACAAAGTCTGCTTTGCTTAGATTTAGTGCACGCTCTTTGTCACTCCGTGAACAAAAAAATTAATTCTGCAAACTAGTGCTTGTTGTGGAGGGCTTCTGGGTAGCTTCATGGACCTTGTTGTTTTAACAAGTCCCAGTGATGATTTTACTGTGTTTCATGATTTTTACTTCATTTAACTGGATGTGTTGACATGGTTTGATGGTCTTGTTGATATGTGCCTGGACATTCAGAAAGCCAAGATAAATCGGAAAAAACTTTCTTAAGCAGACAAATAATTGGATCAGTCCTTCATCTGGTCATTGTTTAGCCCTGGTCTGATTTCTCCCTCACTACCTTTGGAGTTAAATGTGAATTTCTTCTCCATGGGTGTACTGTAACTCAACTTTAACTCTGCAGCAAGGGGAAAACAGTATCAACTGCTAGCTGTGTGAGTGTGTATTTTGGTTTAGGAAGGAAAACACCACCTGGCAGAGTAAAAGGAACTGGAAAAGGTCAGCAGTTTTGGTACTTGTTAGAATTTGACCATCTTCTCCAGCATGACCTTTCTTCAATAAATTTCCACTACGTAGTTCCCCACCCTTGTCCTCTCCATTAATTGCACTTTGATTTAAGAGTTTAGCTCATTTGCTGAGACATTTACAGTAAATAAAGGTTAACAGTATAGATTTTTTTTTTTTTTTGAACAGCAGGCTTCAGACATTTAAATGTGTCAGACTTGATGATAAATTGATGTAATCTCTAATAATAACATACTAAGAAGGGTAGGTACCTTTAGAATTCAAAAGGGATCCTGCTCTTACCATTTCTCAAGCATCCCTGCCTGATTTCAGCCTTGGATGTTTGTGGGGCTAGAAGATGGATGCCGACTTAACAATTCTATTAAAATGACAAGTTAGCTTCCTTGGAAAAAATACTTAAAGCCCATTTGTTTTTATTTTCCCTCCAGGTCCGATGATGACAATGCAGATGACAGGAGTTCCAGGGTGACCAGACTTTGCACTTACTTTCAGCAGAAATACAAGCACCTCTGCCGCCTGGAGCGGGCAGAATCTCGTCAGAAGAAATGCCGGCATACGCTCCGGAAAGCCTTGCTGCAGGCGGCCAGCAGAGAGCCGGAGCGTGCTGGGCAACTGATACAAGAACTCCGAAGAGCTACGTGTGCTCGTACCAGGTTAGACTTTCCGCTGTGACTGCAGTAACCCGGGGTCTGGACAGGGTGGAGATGGGCAGAGTATCCAGCAGCTGAAATGCTGAACTCTGAAACTGGTAGGCATGCACAAGGCAGAAAAACCATGGCACATAAATGCCTGTCAGTGGAGTAAAAGAAACATGGCATACGGTGTTTTCCTTGAAGGCAGGCATTCTCCAGCTTTGTGTTTTAAAATGTGGATTGTTTTTTCAGCAGTATCTGGGCCCGATTTCTTAAATGTCACGAAAGAAGTTAGTGGCCTGCTAAAATTTATTCTTATTAATTGATCTATGTATTTTGGCTTCTGTCAAATATCTGGTACTTTACTAAGCCCAGTTCTTTAGAAGGTGTGCAGTCTGGTCTGCAGTTCACTGCTTCAATTCAGATTTCGTTTTTGAGACAGCTTTTTTGAAAAGTCTGTACCTCCTCTTAATTCTCTTCCTGGCAAATCAAACTTAAGCTCACGTTTTTTGTTAGATTTAACTTAATCTAAATTAAACTTGGCAACAAAATAAATATCTTCTAACAACTCTGAAGGTTACCTTCTGTGGGAATTCTTTCTAGATAATGTCAACATCCCTCCAGCTCTTGGCATACTGAGGGTTGGTTGATTCATATTTGTGCAGAAACAGAATAAGTCTGAACCCTGGTGTTACGTCTGGGGTACCAGCAGCATCCTTTTGCTGTTGTGGTTTTGCTTAATGGGATGTGTGACAGTGGGGGGTAGGGAGGCTAACGTGAGAGGCAGGCTGGAGCAGTGTACTGAGAGTGTATTCTGGTTGTGGGATGCTTTTGTTCCTGGACAGTGGGCTGTGGTTCATGACAGTTGGAGGGCTTGTTGTTGGGGAGGTGGAATGATGCTGAAGAGCTGCTCACAGGTGTAATGTAGAGGTACCTTACTAGTTTACAAAATTGTGTAAATGTCTCCAAATGTAAACTACAGCAAAACCTTGCCAGAACTGGCAAGCTCTTGCTGGTCTTTTTCCATTATTTTTGCCTTTTATTATGCAAAAAAGATTACGTTGTTTTGGGTAGACTGGCAAAGCCAGGTATGCCTGTCATCACTGCTCTGGTTAATTTAAGTAACCACAGACTCTTTTCAGTTACGAAATTTTTCACAGGAGTAATATTGCTAACTAAAACTTTGCTCAGTCAAAGTGCAGTTGATGACAGAAATGGCTGAAGGAAAACAGTCAGGCTACAAACAGCTTTTTGTCAACCTAGAAAACGTGTACAGAGGTGAAATTCAGCCCTGGAATCGCCAGCTTTATCTACGTGAAGGTGACAAATGCCTTGAGAGCAGGCTAACACTAAGCGAGCTGTGTAACGCTTGCAGTACTCATCCACACTGCTGTCTGATTGCCTGCTTGCAGCTCAGGCTCAAAGCATTGAGGCTGTGCTGAGGAAGCGCTCAGCTCCGGGCACCTGCTGGTGGATTGGGCTGTAGCACGTTGATGAGGGAGAGCTTTTACCCATGTTGAGCACGCTCAGGCTCTGCCACTCCAGAGCTCAGTCTAAGTTTGTCTGAGCACATGCTTGCATGTAAGCTCTGGGGATGCTCGGCATGTTTTGATTTATGGACAGGCTTGGAAGTGCACTTGACTGCCCATGTAGACATGCCCAATACATTGTATTCTAAAGATTGACCTCATTTTAAGGGTCACCTGTGTTGATACTCACTTACTGCTGTCCTTGGCTCTGTTGCAGGGTGTTGTAATATTTACATGGTAGTAGCACATAGCACCTCTCATTACAACTAAGGCCCTATGAAATAAAGAATAATCCTGTTACCGCAGTCACTCCTTCACCTGTCATTGACATCTATTCTGTATCCCTGTGTAGAGTCTGGTAGTAGTGTGCACCCATCTGGATCATGACACACACACGGGTGTTACAATTTTTTGTCCTACTGTGCCACGTTCAGTGCAATACTTGTGCTAAGTAACCACCTGAGACTGGGTTTTTGTCTCTAAACTCTTTTATGCTTTTTTTTTCAGCACAAGCCAAGCAAGGCAGAGAGATGCAGAACCCACAACCTGTAGTGGGACTTCGAAGGGAGAACAGTGCACTAACAAGGCCCTTCCATTCACCAGGCATTGTTTTCAGCGTATCCTCTTAACTCTGTTTGGGAGTTGCATGGAAGCTGTTCTGTTTTAGGGGTTTTTGTTTGTTTGTTAGGTTTTTGCCTTGACAAATATGTTTTCACAAAGAAATACCTATTTGTTAGTGTCTTATCAACTACTTTGCTTTTAATTTGTCTGTGTGATTTGGATGTGTAGACAGTGAAGATAAATAGTTTGCTATTGGTATCTATCATAGTCACATTGTTTCACTTTGTAAGCTGTATTTAGTAGGTGCAAGAAGTCTTTACAAAAATTATCATCTTCACAGATGACTTGGTACAAACCACGTGGCTTTCAGCCTCATGGCTTTCATACAGTTCTTGATAGGTAGACTAACTACCTGTGAAGGGTTTATGGGAACAAGTTTTTACACATAGTATAAAAAGATGGCTTACACTGACTAGAAAGATGGAAATCTAATACTTTGCATTGTTTAAAGAAGCAGAATAGAAGGAGTCACAGAATCCAAATTCTAGATGAGGAAGAATTTCCAGTGCTGGGGATTTCAAGCAGTTTGAAAAGGAGGTTCAGGGTCAACGCATGAAGGTCGCAGAAAGGAGGGGTCACATTAGATGTGAGGTTTGATTCTGAAGTCTATAAACGGGCAGAATTCTGACCTGGAATACTTAAGAATTCTGCAGACTTTGTCTTTTTTGTTTTTAGCTGAAGAATTTTTGTTGGAGTGACTCCTTTTGTTTGAGCTTTTTGTTTTGGTATTTTAAGGAACTAGTGCTGATCTGTTCCAGTTGCTATCAGACTGCAGCACCTTTTCAGTGTTTTTGGTTTGCAGATGCCTTGTTTTTCTTGGTTGATTTTTGCAGGCCCCTTAGAAGTAGTCTGCAGAGCAGTTCAAAACCTTTATGAGAGAGCATGATGGTGTGTAGCTGTGTTTGGGATTTGCCTCATGATTCTTATTTTTTTTTTTATTTTTTTAAAGTTTAAGTGGTCTTGCTTCTTGGTGTGCGTAGAGCAGAGAAGTCAAGACTAGTGATTTTGCGTTTGTGCCCATTTTTCCCCTGTGCACTTTCTTCTCAATGGAAGCAGTCTCTCCTAAAATAAGCAGGCTCTTGGTTCTGACCCATCTGTCCAAGTCTGCCATCTGGACTGTTCTGCAGGTTTTCCATTTTCTTTGTCCTTTCTTTTGCGTTTTAACATTTTCTGAACATACATAGTGATGTTGAGGTCTGAGAACTGTTCAAGATGGAAGGAGTCCTTCTAATGTTGTTTGAAAAAACACAATGAAATATCTGTTTGATTTGCTCCAAGTCTGGAAACATTTTCACTCCTGCAGGGGATTTTTTCTGAAGGAAATCTCAGCAAGCTTACGTTTGGATTTACTTGACCTTTCTGTCTGATTGCACATCTTTTTTTCAGAGGAGCAGGAAGGATCTTGAAACTTCTTTGTCTGTGCTCTAAAGATAAATGCCAAGAATGTACCTTAAAAGATTGAATTAAGAAATACTCTTTCTTTAATGTTTCAGTATGGATTGTCATTAGTCTGTAAGGAAATAGTCCTGTTGACTACACTGTTCCAACTGCTACTATTGATCTATTGATTAAGACTCCAGGAAAAGGCGTCTTTTTGCTAAGAACTCATTAGTGAAATGGCTGCTTCCATAAAACTATTTCAATATATAATAAAATCATTAGACATTCTGCATGAATGCAGTTTTTCACTTTAAAAGTTGAGCTTGAGCCTTACCTAACTTTGAACTTGAATAACAAAGTTAAGCTACTCATTAAAAATAGCTTCTATGGACAGGTAGACTTGAAGGCTCTGGTCTTCATCAGATTGATAAATCAAAGGGCGTTCCTCCATCGTTGCCTCATGTGTTATTCCTGATGCAGAAATGCACAGATATCTTATTGAACCGTTCTCAGCAGCTCTTCTCAAGTTGCACAGCCAAGTTTGCGGATGGTCAACAGTGCTCTGTGCCAGTTTTTGACATTACACATCAGACGCCTCTGTGCGAAGAACACGCCAAAAAAATGGTAAGTACAAAGCCAAAACTGTAATTATTTGTGTATTGGGATGATCAGGAGTTTTAGCCCCAGTCTTTCTATGAACTCTTGCTTGACAACTAGCAAGTTTATGAACTTAAGAGCTCGTTTCCTTTTATTTTTCTTAAGAGGGTAAAACATGCCAAACATTCCCAATTAGTATAAAGTATGTTGTGAAAATCTTTTACATACTTTTGAGGATATAATAAAGTGTGCATGAGAATATCCTTCACTGGAAGAAATTTAATTCCTCTCTTGAATCAAGAAATAGAAAATCATTGTCAGAGATCCTGTGGTCATTTTATTTGGGCTCACTCCTGGTCCTTGGATCTGAATATAGTATGAGTGTGGTATGGTAAGAACACTGCATCTCAAACAGTCTCAGTACACGGGGCCCAAAATATTTTCTAGAGGAAGTGCAGACAGCAATTACAAGCATACAAATAATGGTTTTGCTACTTTATTTACCTTTTGGTGACTATTAGAATTTATCTTTAACCTCCTTCAGGGATCTGCGGATCCCAGAGGAAAAGCAGTGGCCTATTAAAAGTGGAGTGAATGCAGAAATTAAGATGATGTCCTCTGCTCTCCTTTTATGCCTCCCATCTTCCAGAACAAAACTTTTAGGATAATTCACAAACCCACTTCTGTCTTGCCCCTCCTTCAGCGCATTAGGCCTAAAACTGCCCTTTTTTTTTTTTTTTTTCCTTCTGTCGTTGGGTTGTTGTGGGTTTTTTATTGTTTCTGTCCAGCTTCTCCAGTACTTGTTCATTATGGAGTTTTCTGGATTAAAATGTGAGGATCTGCGCTACACAGATTTGTATGGGATTTCTCCCCTCTCCCAGGCAGTGTCTCTCTTTCTCTGTGTCTCTCTCAGTTTACTTCTGTAGCACATATAGTCCTCTGCCATTCCCAGTATGATGGCAGCTGAAAACTGATGATGGTTTGGTTTATTTTTTAATTGGTCAATGATTGCTGTTCAAAAGCAATGAGGCCTTAGTTGTTTACCCACATCCTTACCCTAGCCCTACAGTATTAATTCCATTTCCTCAGTGCTGTCCGTCTTTTACGGCACTGCGCACTTGAGGATGCTGGCTTCAGCTGCTGCACACTGTTCCTGTTATCACCACCTCACAACAGTGTTCTGTCTTTAATACTTACAGGAATGCTGCCAAAGGCTGCAGTTTTGCACTGATTTAGAGTTTGTTATGATGGTTTTTAAAGTGACACTGCATGGTCTCCTATTTAGCATACCTCATAATTTGGTCTACGTGATTTTTGCCATTGGGATGAATGAGGAAGGAAACAGCTTAATTTTTGTAACCTTGCCTGGGTGTAAGTTAGCAGTCTCTCTTGCATTACAGATGAATGGCTCTGGAATGTCCAGGGGGGAAAAAGCAAGGAAAGCAATACTTGTTCTTAATATACTCCCATTGCTATTGTTTTATTCCCAAAGGACAATTTCTTGAGAGGGGACAGCTCCCGTAAAGTTCAGCACCAGCAGCAGAGGAAACCCAGGAAAAAAACGAAGCCACCTGCACTTACCAAAAAACACAAGAAGAAGAGAAGGCGAGGCCCACGCCGGCCCCAGAAACCCATTCCTCCTGCAGTGCCCCAAGGGAACCTCACCATGCCTGCCAGTGTCTCACTGCCAGTAGAGATGCCCCACATACGGTCAGTGGTAGGCCTGCCCCAGTTTGCCCACTGCTAGCTTGAACATTGCCAATGAGCGCTGTAGAAAGGTGTGATGTTGCTGTGCTGATCAGCATCTGGAGCAGGGCTAGAAATTGCATCTCCATGTGACTGTTGAAAAAAACCTTAGAGTGGGTCATTCTAGATTGAAGCAATTATTGAGTTGAGATAAAATGTCTTGCTCCTGATGCCTATCTTACGTATTTAATCGGTAGGCTAAGTGTAAGCTTCCTAAAGAAACTTTCTAAAAGCATGTTTTCCCTAGATGATGGGGGGGGGAAGGTGTGGGGAAACACCCATTATAGATGGATATGCATTCATAATTGTTGTTTGGATGAATCAGAGTTGAATACCATGGACTAATGGTACTTTCTGTCCAGGAGCCCCTCCACGCCAGAGCTGAGTGCTGATGAGCTGCCCGATGATATCGCCAACGAAATCACAGACATTCCACATGACTTGGAATTGAATCAGGAGGACTTCTCTGATGTCCTGCCGCGGCTGCCCGATGACTTGCAAGATTTTGATTTCTTTGAAGGTACCATTTTATTTTATTTTATGCTAATGTGAACACATTCAGTGAACTGAAGAAGTGAGTGTTTCTAAAATGCATGAGGGGTTGCTTGCTTTCCTACAGAGGTAATAACTTCTTGACAAGGAAGAGTGCATTTGCTCTATTGTTTGTTTGTGAGCTCTGAAGTAAAGCAGACTTTAAGAAGACTGATGTGTGTAGTTCTCTGCTTGCTCTTATAATTACTGCTCTGAAAATCCTAATTGGCTTAGTACGTTAATAATTCATTTTACACTTTTACTGCCTGTCAATGTTGCAGTTTAATCAAGAGTATTCTCAGTAATGGCATCTTTCTGCCATCGAGTGGGGCCAGAATCACAGTCAATGTTGGCCTTTGATAAAAGGAGAAGAGAGTGAGAATAAAATCTTTAAATAAATTTTTGAAACTAGCTTTTGATCAGAACTGTGCCTGAATTTCTGGATTCTAAAGCTCAGTGCCTATCACAGATAACAAAGACATTAGAACAGCCCAGAGTTGGGGTATGCGATTTCTTTGGTCATTTTCTGATACAACATGACATCAGACTGTGTTTGAGTTGAAATTAACCTAAAGTATACTGACTGTGTAAATTTTAGGTCCAGGCTGTAATGTGGTAAGTAGAAGGGAGTTTGTGGACTATTTGTGTTATTGCAGCATTGAAGAAAATCTTACTTAAGCATTTTTACTTTAAGTCTAGTGAGTTTGGGAGGCATCTTGTATTGTAGTATGTGGAAGAGGAGGGCAGAGAGAAGGAATTCTATTGACGAGAAGGGTGTAATTCCTTGTTTTTCTTACCGTGCTTACCTAGTGAACACTGGTAAAGGAAATTTTCTGTGTACCACAAGCCGTTCTGGCAGTTTATCATACACTACAGCTCTGTACTGAACTGTCTGTACATCTGCATCCTTAGAGTGCCACTGCTGGGCTCACCTGAGATGAGCACGCTAACTTCTGGTGTCCCTGTTTCTGCAGGTAAAAATGGAGATCTCCTTCCGACTACAGAAGAGGCTGAAGAACTGGAACGGGCCCTACAGGCTGTGACTTCTCTCGAGTGCCTGAGTACCATTGGAGTACTTACACAGACAGATGGTGTGCCAGTTCAGGAGCTGTCAGATAGAGGGATAGGGGTGTTCTCTACAGGTGCTGGAGCTCCAGGAATGCAGTCCTTGAGTCGAGAGGTTAACACGGATCTGGGGGAGCTGTTGAATGGGCGTATAGTACATGATAATTTCTCCGGTCTGGAGCTGGATGAGAACTTGCTCCGTTCTGCTACCTTGTCCAACCCACCTACGCCCCTGGCAGGGCAGATCCAGGGGCAATTCTCAGCCCCAGCCAACGTCGGCCTTACTTCTGCCACTCTCATAAGCCAGAGTGGCCTTGGGGAGAGAGCCTTCCCAGGACAGTTTCATGGACTTCATGATGGCAGCCATGCCTCCCAGAGGCCCCACCCTGCCCAGCTGCTGAGCAAGGCAGATGACCTGATCACCTCACGACAGCAATACAGCAGTGACCATTCACACTCCTCACCCCATGGAAGCCATTATGATAGTGAGCATGTGCCGTCTCCCTACAGTGACCATATCACATCCCCTCACACCACATCCTTTTCTGGTGATAACTTGGCAGCTACCTTCTCAGCAGAGATGCCCATGATGGCACAGCACTTGCTCCCAACTCAGCTGGATGTGCCACTTAGCGGGGTGGTCAACCCCAGAACTCACTGGGGAAATCTTCCTGTCAATCTTGGGGACCCCTCTCCGTTTAGCAACCTTCTTGGTGCAGATGGACACCTCCTGTCCACCTCCCTGTCCACACCACCTACCACCTCGCACTCAGAGACCACACAGCCTGCCTTCGCCACTGTGACCCCCAACAGCTCCAGTGTGCTTCCGGGGTTACCGCAGACCAGTTTTAGTGGCATGGGTCCTGCCTCTGCTGAACTCATGGCCTCCACCTCCCCTAAACAACAGCTCCCTCAGTTCAGCGCAGCCTTCGGGCACCAGCTGAGCTCCCACAGTGGCATCCCCAAGGACCTGCAGCCCAGCCACAGCTCCATAGCTCCTCCCACGGGCTTCGCAGTGACCGGTGCCACCGCTACCAGTACCAATAACGCATCTGCGCCCTTCACCACCTCCAACTGAGCTTGTCTGCCTGGCTCTGTGCAGGTAGATGGGGGACCTGTGTTTTCTATCTTTCCTTTTTTCCTTTTTCTTTATTTTTTTCTGTCCTCCCTTCCCTTTTTTTTAAGAGGGGGTTGAGAAGAAGACCCCTGCTTCAGTACTGACCAGGGTTAGCCCTCTGTGAACCTTGCTGTAGCGTTCACATGTGCTTGTTACGCACCGGTGCTCATTTATTGCAGGCAGGTTCACCATTCCCCAATAATTCCTTAAGGATACAGTACAGTTACTGGATGTAATTGATCTTAGAAGTAAGAGCTAGAAATGGGAAGATACCTCAGATTACTGATGCATGTTACTGTTTCCTAGGGTTCGGATCAGTGCTTGCCATCCCATTAGCATCTGGTAGAAAGTTTTCCCGTGGGCAGAAGTCTCTGGCATGGAAAACTTGGCTGCACGCATTGATTTGAGAATGGTGCACTGAAGTCCTAAATCAAGATCATGGTTCAAGGATGAGTTTGGCAGTTTCTTAAAATAGTCTTTTGACCTCCTCTGTGTGCGTGTGTGTGTTTGGGGTGCAGGGAGCAGCAGTTCCTTTTCTTCTTTTGGTGAAGAAGTGGGAGTTGTCCCCTTCCAGAACTGGTCACTGTTCTTACTGCATGCTGATTTTTGTTTTTTTATTATGATGATTTTTAATTCATTGAGCAGCAAGGGGATCAGTTGACTGGTTGCCCAGAATCTGAAGGCTGATGCGAAGTTAGCCCAGGGGAAAAAAGAAAGAAAAACAGAAGGGTTGAAATAGATCATGGATTAGTGAAGATTCCTGTACAGAAATTCCCTCCCTTGCTGAATTACTGTGGCCTTGTAGCGTTGATGATTTTGCCTTTTCAAGTGTGGCTTTGTCCAGAACTCCTTGCCTGATAGGCTGACAGGTATTTCCCAGCTGAAACTGGAAGAATTTGGTTGGTATTCTGCCCATCCACACAAGTCTAGGTCAGACCCTTTGGTAAGTTTCAAATGGATGCATTTCTCAAATTATGTCCAGCTACTGAGACTTTCCTGGATAGTTTTTTCCCCTCTGGGAGCCATATAGTTTTTTCAACACTTGTAGGGTTTGATGCTCTGTATGGGAAGCTGAATGTATGTAAGGAACTAGCAGGTATCTATCAGCAATCTGGCTAACCGAAAGAGAAATCACTAAAGCAAAATAGAAAGATAAGAATTCCTTCTGTCTGCAGGACAGTTTTGCTTTTACTGCCCACCTTAAAGATAGTATTCAGACTCTTTGGTAGTAATTTCAGTTCTTAAAGAAAGGAGTCCGCTAGCTTTAATTATTTTTCCTAATTTTATTTACTGTTTTTTAATCCAAGAGATAACGGCAGCAGAAATTCTGAGGTGTTTACTTGCATCTCTTTATCAGGAAGGGAAAAAAGGAATTTGCTTGTGACTTTATAGGGCTCAAACTTGCTACTGTACTCTGACTTTGACTGTAAAAGTAGCTCCTACTTAATATAACAAGTCTCTGCTCTTCTTGGTTTGTTTCTGAGATGCAGATGAGAGAGAACAGAAAATCCCACATTTCAGTCTCTTACTGTAGAAGACAGATTTCATTCTGCCTTACAGTAAAATGTCCTAACTGCATGTATTCTAGTCTAATTCAGGAAATTAAGAGATATCAAGAACATGTAATAGGGAGGCCTAGTAAATTGTCTGAGCAAGGGATCATTGAATGAAGTTTAGTTGCTATAGAAATTCATGTTGTTAGCAGTCAGGCCCACACCAAAATCTCTGACCGAAACCTCTCCTTCCATCTTGCTAAGGAACAGAATTTAAACGGGATAGGTCTTGTTCTTCTTACTATTGTAGCAATCATACTATCCCTCTTTTCTTGAAAGATTTGTTCTCCTTAAATATAAAGGAGTATTGATGATGCATATGTCCTTTTCTGAAATTGCAAGTGTATGTGGGTGGAGGAAACAAAAACTATTTTCATGCTTCTGTTGTTATGAAGTCCTTATTTCATACTTGGTAAAATAGATCTTAATAATATAAGCCGAATATTTTTAAGTGGTGATTTAAATATGTTTGTAACATTTAAATGTTTTTAAATCATGTAAAAAGTTGAATTGAAGCCTATGAAATCCTGCTTGTGATTGTCCTGCTGATTGAGGAATGCCCAGTGGTATTGTGAAATGAGGCAAATCTGACAAGGCATTTATTTATTTTTGTATTATGTTCCCCATACTTTGTTGAGGAGACAACTGTTTGATTTGCAAATGATTTTTGTTGTGTCCGTATACCTTCTTCAATGTGTTTGGATGACTGGCTGAAAAAGAGTGGAGAACTAGTATACCAAATGGTTAATTCTTTAATCTGCTTGTGTATTCATGTCATTTTAGAGGATGTTAATTTCTATAAATTGGTTTCAGGACTTTGGTCTTGAAATCATTCTCGTGCCCATCAAACTCTTTAATGAAGCTGCAGCTAGTGCAGAGTATATTTGCCCCACATCACGTTTCTCTTTCTTAGCAAATGCCGGGGGGAAGGGAGGAGGGGAACTGAGAGCCGAGTTCTGCTTGCTCGCGTTGGTATAAATTATGGAGGAGCTCTTTGGTCTAAGGTCACTGTGAGTTTGTACTGGTCTAACTCGGAACAGAACCCAGCTCCTAATCTGAGCATTGATTTAGACAGGGAATTTCAAAAGCTGCCAAAGCTATGCAGGTCCATAGTTCCCATTTGAAGTCAATGGCTGTTATGTACCTGCATTCCTCTAAGGCAGCCTAGGATATCAACTCTCTTCCCCTGCTTAGACTTCAATTTTTGTATATCCTTGATGCCTCTTCCCTGAAAAGTGACTACGTAACATTTTCCAATGAGCAAACTAAGTTTGCAATAAAGCTGCACTTTTAAAAATAAACTTCGATTTGTATACGTTTGAAATAGGAATCCCTCTGTCCTGTCTGACACAGAGTTCTGAAATGGGCCACCACTCTTGCCTTTTCCTGGTTCACCTCCCGTTTTTTCACTGCTGCTGCTTTCATGGTTACAGCCTACCAAGCAGTTACGGGTCTTGATCTTAGCTTTACAAGGTGGATCATTCCAGGTGGGCTTCTACACCCACACAACCTGTTGACTTCAGTGAATCAGTGTCTTACTGTTGGATGTGAGAGATCCAATCTGAGAGGTATGTGCAGCCAGAGATGTTTCACACCTTCTCCTCTGGGAAATACCGCAGGTCTGGTTAAGGTAGTCCTTGAGGCTGTTATTTATGTGGTTCCCGAGTAGAATCCATGCTCTCTTGCAAAGGTTTTTGAGTATCATCTCCTCGTATAGCAATTAGCACTCTAATCACCCTTTCACCAAAGAGCCAGTGTAACAATTTCAGTCCATTGATTTGAGATGGTCGATACCTGTCGTGCCCTTTACGTGTTAACAAATGGAATAAAGCTAGTGGAACCTAAAAGTTAATTTCTTTACATAAGATTTGAGTGTTAAAGAATTGAAAAAAATTAGAATAAAATACCAGTAACATCATTTTTGGAAATAATAGCACCTCAATTAGTCTTTGTACAAAAGTACTTAACACAAGATGAACTTTGACAGTGTACAGAGGCTCATCAGGAGCAGCCTCATGCTGGCCCGGTGTGTAAGGCATTCTGTAAGACACACTTTGACGTTTCCTTTCACTTAGGAAGACTTTACGCTAACTTTGAGGGGAGCCATATGCACTTAGATACCTGAAAGTTGATTTATTCTTTGGCCTTGTAATTACTATGATACAAGAAGATGTATGTATGATGCAAGAAGCTGGAAAAGATGCATCATTTTGTCTCCTCCTGCCTTCCAGTTCCTCCAGGTTCTTGCTTAGTTCCCTTCTTGTTAGCAGCATGCTTCTCTCTATGATTGGGCATAAAGGCTTTAAATCAGTAATGCTGAGAGGTGGCACAGTTGCAGGTCTGCCTCAGACATTGTGGAGGAGACGGCAACAACTAAGTTTCCCACTTCATTCAGCAGGTTAGTGGAACAAGGATTTCCAGTTCTCGTTTGGAAAGCATTGGAAGGCTCCGAGAAGCTTATCACCTGTTAGGCAAAAACCAGAGATGGTATTGGAAGTACAAATGCAAGGAAAAAAAAGTCCAAGGAGAGTCATCCATAATAGCAAACAGAAGCCAAGGGAAGTGACTTTTTTTTCTGAGGGAGATGAGTATTAGTTGAAAAATTGGGAAGTTCTGTTGTGAGCTGGTAGGCACAGTGTGATGCCACTGGCTTCAGGGGCACAGCCAAGGCGAAGGGCCTAGGATTGAACCTGCAAACCAGTAGCCAAGTTCAGTTTGAAGCTTCATTTTGCTGTAACTACATCTAAATACAGTCTGGGATTGAATGTACTTGCCAGGAAAGAAGAGTCTCATGAAGGATTACAATAAACAGTGGACAGGTGTCTTCTCTGAGAAGCTGACCCTGGTGGTTACATAGACATGTCGTTAGTCTGCTTCTGAACTCCAGCTCCTCACTGAGCTCCTGCAGCATCGTGGCTGCTGCGTTTCCCTGTAGGGACTGGGGCAAGGCTCCAGAGGTATTTCCCCCTGTCTTTGTGCTGCAGCGAGCTGAATCCACTGGTGAATTCTCCAACAGTATGAGCCTTTGGGCAGGGAGGAGGGAAGAATTTTTAGAAGAGCCAGCTACCTGCAGTTGAATCTTTTAAGACCTTTAGGGTATGGGGATGGTGGCAGGAGGTCCTTTCAGCAGACAAACAATAGAAAACTTACCTGCAGTGAGGCATTTGGATGGGTGTCTGGGCAGCTTCCCTGGTGGGATGTTTCCTTTTGCTTTTGTATTTTTACCATTACATGTGAAGGAGTCTCCTGTGCAGGCCTGTTGCAAGGGTCGGTGGTGATGGAAATATTAACTGAAGGACTAGTTTTGGGCTAATGTGCTGATCTTTAGATTTTTGATCTTTTGGTCACAAGGTCTTTCTGATTTCTTGGGTAACATTTAATGATGGGGTGTTGTGTGCTGCTTCTCATACCTCCTTTACTTCCTTGTTCTCTACATTCTTCATCATTCTTTCTTTTATTCTCCCATTCTCAGATA